TGAGGAGATGCTTCACTCACTTGCTGGGCCCACAGCCTGAGCGGCAGAGGCATTGTTTCTGATTCCCGGGGGAGAAGCAATGAACAGTGGGATCCATCCTGCCCCAAGGGCACCCAAGTGCATCTTAGCACCACTCCTATCCCTTACTTCTCTCTCCACCCCTCTCACTGTTCCCCATTTTATTTCTAACCCTGGAAGCCAGAGACAGCCCAGTGAGGGGGCAAAAAGTAGAAGATCAAGATGGGGAGAGAAAAGGAAAGAAACTCAAGGCTGACCAGGCCAAGGAGATTGGAGAGCTTCAATCTTAAATGAAACAATGTTTTGACAACTGTATTTTACTGGTCAAGGCAGAATGTCTTTGTGATTGAATATATCAGGACTTCTGATACTCAATGGTGCCTAGAAAGGTTGAGGGACTTGCTTAGACTTTCATCAGGGGAAGGAATGAGGCCTCACGGAGCTTGGCCCTGAGTGCTTGGGACGCTTGAAGGGAGACTGGCAAGGACAGATGAGTCTTACTGAACAGGTACAGTTGTGGTCCTCTGGACTGGCTGTCTACTATTTCATGTTCTATGGTTCTGATGAGGACAGTTGGGGCTGCAACAGATGAGCCCATAAGAGATGCAAGCCCAAGCAGCACCCTTGCATACTAAAAATCCCTCAAAACTTCCAACTGAACTCCAGCTGGTGGACTTTCTACTGTGTTCCTCTGATGCAGATGCCTCTTTGACCTCTCTCTGGAGGTAGTCAGGGTCTGTTGCACCTCCATAAACAGAGAGGTGCTCTCCTGCATGCTCTCTCTCATTTAGGCTACCCAGCCTGAGCAGTTATAAAAGAAATGACATGCCAGCTCCTCTTCTTATAGGCCTCTCTTATTTTTGTGAATGATTGCAGAGGGGAAACATGTTACTTCAAGATATTCTAAAGGCAGGAATAGCCTTTCTTTGCAAAAGCAGCACTGCCCAAACGCCTGACCCTCTCCCACCTCCCACCCTTCTCCTATGGAGTTGGAACATGGGTCGTGGGTAGGGAGGGTGGAAGGGCTGATTCTGGAATCTGCACTCTCGATAGGTCGACATTGTGGCTGGGCGACGTCTCCCAAACCCCACTTGAGGAATTGGGACGCAGATGGGATACCAAGTAACTTTTGTTCACCACACAGGGCCTCAGTTGCAATTCTGGGACTCTAGGAAAACCTTCCTTTGACAGTCGTGTTCTAGTTCGCCAGTGAAGACCCCCCCACCAGGACCCTGCTGGAACAGTCAGGTCTGTATCACCTGTTTCCAGCAGTGCTTGTAGCTTCATCCCTAAAACTATCCAAACACTTGAAAAGTCTATTCCTAGTGCTTGCCAGTAGCCATTCTTGAGTTAGTATCCAGCACACAGCTATCATCTACCAGGTGCAATAGAGCTACTGAGAAACCAGCCTAGGATAAAACCAAAAGGAGAAACGATAGGAGTTTGAATCCTCTGGAGAGTTCTTTTATGTAAAGGTTAGGTGACTGTTTTCCTTTGCAGGTCAGGGCGGCTTGTTTTAAGAGGGCAACAATTTTAATGTTTGTATGTAAGCAACCTGAACAATAATGATTTCTTGGATTAGTGTAAATGGGCCTATTCCTCCTCTGTGACTAATTAAGCCGAATTCCTTGCATAAGGGAAGCTGCTTGGCATTTGCCCGTATCCGCGCTGACCCGCTGTGTTTGATTACCCACCATTAGTTCATAGCAGTTGGACTGCCCAGCCGACTTCCAGGATTGTCTCAATTATCAAGATACCTTGTCACCTTTCTGGCCAAGTTTTAACATCTTCACATAATCCCTATAGAGAGAGCGTGTTTGAAACTTGGCCTCATCTGGAGGATTAGTGAAAACATTGGGGCTTCCTCCTTAGGTGGCTAATGAAGGCCCCGCAATGACAATAGTACAGATTAGTTTAAAATAGTTTCTATTTTTGTCAGTGCTAAAAATATTCTTTCATTTATATTTTCTCCCAGGCTTCCCATGTCTCTTTCCAAAGTGAGGGATGGAAAACGATAGGTTCTGAGTATCACCTATTAGACTAACAATGCAACATTTAAGAGGATGGGCTAAAAATGCATCTTTGAATGATAAATAATGTACAATACAGCCGTATAATATAGTGCATTCTACAAAAATGCTTTTTTTTCTCAGGAGGTAATTTTTTTCCACTTGTGGATTTATATTAAAGTCCCAAGTCCTAGCGGGGAGATCGATGGGCCGAGCTTTAATTGGGACTCTCTGGTGATTATCTAGATGGGCAGCTGCTGTCAATCAGCTTCTAAGGAAATTTCAGAGCCAATGATTAGTGGGCTCCTGGAGATGTTAGGCCTCTGCGGGAAATGTTAAAGCCCCCAATCACAGAGAAACCCTGAAGGACAGTGGAGTTATAATTTTCCAAGTTGCTGGCTTACCTGGCCACATACATGTCCCAGCTTTCTGGCTGAGTCAACTCAAAAGACTGATATTAGAGAATGTGCTGGAGTTACTTAGTTTTATAAGCAAAACAATGTCTGAGACTCTGTGTCCCTCACAGGCAATTGCTCACCCCATTGCTAGAATCTGTGTTCCTCAGATTTCACTTTTTCCTACTCTGAAATATTTCTTACATCTTTACATTGCTACCTGTTAAAAAAAATAGTAAAACAACAACAGTACAATGACAGTGCCCCATGTTTGTTTATAAAACACAATTTCATGTCATGCATTTAAACCCCATTGATAAAATAACAATGTATTACTGTTCTTTTCTGGGAAAAGATACACAAAGTCACAAAATTTCTCCTCCCTCAGTGCACATAATATTGTTTTAGAAACACTCCTCATATGAATTAAAAATCCAAACCAGTTTTTGATTAATTTAACATTTTGTGATGGCTTAATCTTGTTAATTCAGATTTCACCAATTTAAATTTCATGATAATTCAAGTAGGACTGGGCTAAATTTGTTTTCTCCTCATCATTGAATTATGATGAATAATGATAAGAAGTGTTCTGTTGGTTAAAAATGAACTGCCAGCTTCTTATAAGGTTAAATGTACACTTATTTACCACATGACCTAGCAATTCCATTCTTAGGTGCTTTTCTCCCAAAATGGAAATACATGTCCACCCAAACACTTGCATACAAATGTTCAGGGTAGCTTTATTTGTAATAATTTTTTTTAAAGATTTATTTATTTATTTATGCAAGCACTGGGTATTAGTCAGAAGCACAGGAGGGTGAGAGAATTCACCAGAGCCAGAGCAGGAAACAGAACAGTCAACTGACGAAGGACACTATTGAGGGGAATAGCGGGTGCAGCAGGAGAGGTCTGCGCGCCATGTGGGATCCTCGCTGGCGGCCAGGATCAAACCAGCTCTGCAGAGGCTGCGGGCAGCTTCGCAGCCCAGTGCTCAACCACTACACCACCAGGGAGGTCCTATTTGTGATAATTAAAAACTGGAACCAACCTAAACATCCATCAGTAGGTGACGAGGCAAACAAATTTTGAGTTATCCCAACAATGGAATGTTATTTAGCATTAAAATAAAATGAACTACTGAGACATGGAGAGGAGTCTCGAAAATATAATGTTGAATGAAAGAAGGATAGATACAAAAGATTATATGCTGTATGGTTTCATTTACATGAAATTAATTATAGTGATAGAAAGTAGATCATTGGTTACCTAGCAATGGGGGTGGAGAGATCGATTGGGCAGGAACACAAAGGAGTATTTTTAGATGACACACATGTTCTGTATCTTGATAGATGTGGTAGTTATAAGGGTATATACAGTTGTAAAAATTCAATAAACTGTACGCTTATAATGTGGACACTTTATTGTATGTAACTTAAACATTAAAAAAAATAGGTTTTTTAAAAGGTACATGACATCAGATATATCTTCATTAATAGCATGATTCTTGTCCTACCCCTTGTGTCTTTCTTTGCTTCCCCTTTCCAGTGTGTTAATGTGTGTGTGTGTGTGTGTGTGTTGCCAATATCATTTTCAACATGCAAATGGTATGAGGAATTCCAGCTTGAGTTCAACAGATATCTTAAAAGAAAAAGAAGAATCCAAGCCTTCCACCCCATACCTAGTAAGTCCCCCAATTTTACTTAGTATTATTCCTAACTACAGTTCTTCTTGTGTGTGTTTTTGATTTAGACATGAGTCCAACCTTCATTTATATGGTTCTGCTTCGCCTTCTGTTTCTCCTTTATCTCCTTTCTCTTCCCCTCCCCCTCTTCTATTTCTTCCTAAGTTTTGGCTTGGACAATCTGATGAGATTTAATGTATAAGTTGATCTTTGTTTTATGGGAGATTTAATGGGCATATGTCTGGGGCACTTTTGCAACCTTTAACTTGGGAGTTTTGCTTCTGGAGGGGTGTGTGTGTGTGTGTGTGTGTGTTTGCATTTTTTATAATTTCCTTTTTGGATCAAAAGGAAGTGAGCCTCCTATTCTGAGCAAGAGTCGGCTTGAACAAATTCTGCCTGATTTGGACAAGCTCAACTGGAGGAGTTTCAGGCTTTCATGTTCCACCATAAACTAGATTTAGAAAAGGCAGAGACCCACATGATGGCACAAGGAAGAGCAGCTTCCCTTGACCCTGGTAGCTATAAGGGGGCCATGCAGAAAGAGGAACCTTGTGTGATCTATCATGAAAACCTGTCAGTTTTCCTTGTGCTCATTCATTTCACAATCAGTATATTAGATGTTGGCTGATGTAGCAGGGGACGTGTCCACCTTGCAGACTGCATAGTTTGCTATCAGAAGGATTTCCTGGTGTGATCTGATCCTCATGATGTTTTGCTAAAGACTCACACTTCTTTGAAACTTGCAGGCATAAAACCCTGGGTGCATGACTCCAGAATGAAGAAAGCCCCAGAAGGCAATGACTTGGAGACCAAAACCCTTTGGTTTAATGAAACTGTTGAAGACGTGAGATACATATTTAAGAAAAAGCCAAAAACTGAATTTTTTTTCTCTTTCAGCTTCTGTTGCAGGATACCCAAGGATTAACATCCAGTGAACAATGGAAACCCTGAGATGATGAATAAGGCTATGAATCTTCCTTGGTAATTGCTCCAATGAAACTTTTTTTTTTGTCCTTCCAAAGCCAAAGTATGCATGATGGCATCTGAAAAATGTGACATCTGCTGTCATCACTCCCAGCTTTGGAAATCTGATTTTGACTTTATGGGGGAAAATCTTAGCTTTGATTTTGGCCTTTAATTTTTGATACTTGCAATTTGTGAGTTTTTTTTTTAAATATATAAGCTTACATGTTTGATATTTCCCTTTTGTGTTTTTGCAGACTCTTTAAACAGATACATGTGTGGTTCAGGTAAACAAATTGCCTGACTACTTCAATGTGTGTAGAACTGCCTTTCCATCAGGCAGTGGTGAAAAGAATCTAGCCTAAGAAAACTAAGGCTTGTCCTCTTACAGAAGAAAGAGAGAGCTCTGTGTCTTTGCAGTGGCAAGTAAAACTACAGTTGTACAAGCTATTCCATGTGACTTAAATGGAAAAAAATCCTTTCTGTGTCCATATGTTGTATGTCTATGTATCTTCCCCTTTGTGTCTATTGTCCTGGTCCTTGGAGGATATAGAAATCGGTACAGAAAGCACCTAAAGAAATGATGAAATTAAAAAATATATATAGGGCCTCCCCTGGTGGTACAGGCGATTGAGCGCCACGCTGTGAAGCTGTCTGCAGTCTCTGCAGCTCCGGTTCAATCCCAGCCAGCCGGCAAGAATCCCACATGGTGCAGCAGACCTCTCCTGTCTCACCTGCTGCTCCCCTCAGCAATGTACTTCGGTCCATCTGCCTGTTCTATTCCCAGCTCTGTCTCTGGTGAATCCTCTCACCCACCTGTGCAGCTGACCTGTATCCCATTTCTTGTATGTATGAATAAATAAATCTTTTTTTAAAAAAAATAAATAACATATATAATATATATATATAATATATATATATATATATATATAGGGAGTTGGTGCAAGTGCTTCCAAAAGCATGGTCTGAGATAATCTGTGGCTAATGAAAACTAATTTGGAATTTTGAAATTTAATGGTTTGCTTTGAAATCTGTATATCTTTGAAGTTGTGCTATGGAGTATAATGTTGTTATTTCCTTTTAATTCTGTCATTTGTGCTGGTATCTGCAGCTCAGAAGAGGCAGCCTGAAGTGAATGGTTTAAGTCACTAAATGGTGAATGAAATGGGAGTTGGGATATTAAAGGGCTTTGAAGGTTAAGAATTCCAGTTGTGGAAGTGAAATAATAAAGTTTGGTGAGAGATAAAAAGGTTACTTGTGGAATGAAATCTAAGAAGATGGAAGGGTCTAACTCTGTTAGCATTGTGCTGGTGGGATGTAGTTGGAGTTCTGATATCTTAAATTGTCACCATTGGGTGGAGTGTTTTAAGTTATAATGTTGAACAAATTTCCTTGTCACTATGTTATCATCAGATTTAATTTTGGTTATTTCAGAGTTTTAACATTTACAGAAATGGTTTCTGAGAAATTAGCAAGAGAAAGATCTTAACATTTCAAAACTCATGCTAATTGATAGGACTCAAGATTAAGTATTTTCTTCATAGAACTGAATGATCTTAATATAGTTTTAAAAATATTACTGGTTTTTTGAATCAGGAATTTTTTCTTTTAACTGATCATGATTTGAGTAATGTTAAATTGCATTTTGTGAGCAGAACTAAATTGTGTTTGCATTTTCTCTCTCCTTGATACCATCATAATATGGAAAAATGGTAATAAGCGTTCTTACTCCTTGTGACAATGTGTCTATCTCTGCGTTCTGTCAGTAAGATCTTTTATTTATTTCTCCTTAAAAATTGAGAATTGGAAATAGATGGTTACATTGCTTGGACTTTGATTGGAATGTCACAGTTGAAAGCTTCTGTTGTTGAGATTGAGCAAAACCCAAACTCAAAGGTGCAGTTTGCCCCAGTCCCTACCATCTACCTGCCCTTCATATTTTTCTCTCAATTCACTGCTTTCCTGACTGCCTGTAACAGCATTCTGTCCTGTATGTTTTAAGAGAATGATTTCTGTCTGTATCTTCACATTCTTCTTGGATTGTCAGAGGTTGGTAATAGAGAATGGCTACCCTGGAGGAAAAAAGGTGACGATTTTAGGTTGGCTTAGTCCATTGTAAAAGGTCTCTAAGAGCCTTTCCCAGCTCTGAAAGTGCCTTTTTGCAAGACTCGGGGTAGGATAGCATCCAGTCAGAGATTTCCCATTGATTTCCCATTTGTCAGGAGAAGCACAGACCCAGCTCGGAGATTTCCACCTTAAACTTTCAAAAGAAGCCACTTGCTAAAGGTTCTGGAACTGTGGATGCCTGAGGAGCTGCTGAAAGTCAGACAAGTTAGCAGAAACTAGATTTGACTTTTGGCCCCAGGGGTCAGAGAGATGGAGATGAAAGCTGACAGGCTCCTCCTTGACAAAGCCTCTGTGGAGTGGAAATGGGTGATTCTCAAATCAGAGTGGCACTTGCTCTCGTGGGCCACCCTGTGGGCAAGGCCTTTGCGGCCCACCCAGATCCTCCGTGCAAATGGTCTCCGGCCTACTGACTGGCAGATAGGCCTGCCATCCCCAATGCAGGACACCTCTTTGGGTGTATGGTTTTAATCTCAAAGACAACCAGAGATTCAGCACAGCAGACACTTCTCAAGCGTCCAAAAAATCAGTATACATTTTGTCATAGGCAGCCATTGGCATGAACCTTGTTTTCAGAGTAGCTTCTAGTCCTGGTCACCATTGATAGGCTGTGCAAACTTGCTCTTGAGTAAGTTACTTAGTATTTAGGGGCCAGGGCTTCCCTACTGTAAAAGAAAAGGTGCTCATTTATTGTTTTGTGGAAGTGGTAGACTTGTAAACAGCAATGATATTAAAGTTGGTGATAATGTGTGGGGAGACCCGATGAAGGCTAAAGTTATCCCATAGGGAGGAGATGACATTTGAATAGAGTTTTGAGGAAGATGTAAGAGTTTTCTAGTTCGATAAGAAAGAAGAATATTCCATACAAGCTAACACATTCCTAAACAGCAAGAGCAACATGAAGGAGGGAGGATTTGATGAGCCCACTGTAGAGGAGAAGAAGTAGTTTGAGAATGTAAGATTGGAAAGTTAAGAGTGTTTTAAATAGAAAATCAGTAGGTTCAATATGGCTGCCAACTTTCAAGAGAGGATGGACTGTACTTGGCAGCTGGGAAGATGATAATTTAATTAAATAAAACACCCAAAGCAGAAGAGTGTAGGAAAATAATGAATCTGATGTCTGAGATGTTAAAACAAAACCACCCATAGTTCAACCAACTGACAGGTCCAGTAGACAGCTGAGTAAACAGTTCTAAAGGGGAGTGGTTAAAGACAGAGAGCATAGACCTGGGTGTCATGGGCTTAACATTGATCTAGATCATTTCAAAGTTGCTTTCTGAATCTAAAAATCATAGAATTTGTGACCATAAATAGACAAGTTCAAAAATAAGCCTTTCTTTTCTCCCAACGCATTTCTCTGAGATACTTGCTATGTTTTCCCTGCTTCCCTTCTTGTGGTGTTTATGTGTCATTACGGATGTCCATAGAGTTCTTGCTAAATCTTGTTGTCTTGAGTTGCTGTCATCTGTAGTTGCAGTGTCTTGGACAGTGTAGAAGGATCTCAGCCCAGATAATTAAACATGAATCTAATAGCAGTGATGAATCCCAAAAAGGCTTCAGAAAAGACTCTCGGCAATTTTCATCAATTATCAGTTGTTTCCCATTTTATGATAAAGTTCAGGCTCATCGGTTTGCATTTAAGTCTCCCTCCCTCCCTCTCTCCCTCCTATCTCTGATTATTAGCTATGTCTTAAGCATGCTGTGGAGGGGCCCGTTTGGGGAGAAGCCCATTCTTTCAGCAACCAGCAACATGGATATAGGTTCTCCAGACCAATGAAACCTTCAGATGTAACATCTTCTCACAAGAGACCCTGAGCCATCAGCCCCCAGCTAAGCCAGTCCTGGATTCCTGATGCTCAGAAACTGTGAGATGCTCAACAACCGTGTTGTTGCTTTAAATCTCCTAATCGTAGGGTAATTTTTAAAGGAGAGAGCTGGAGAAGAAAGGGTGCTCTTCTGATACACGGAAAGGTTTGCAATCATTTCAGCACTTCAGAGGAAAGTTCAGTAAGGCATGGAAAGCCTCTGGGGCCCTCGCTTGACTTGTCTGCCTATTTGCTGAGTGGCCTTGAAAACGTCTCATTGCCTGTTTGGACCTCATTTCCCTATTTGAAAGTGAAAATGGAAGCCTTGGTTCCAGACTCCATACTAAGCCCTTCCAGACATACATTTCATAGTTTACAAATTATTTTTTTTATCTCGTGGTTGGGACCTGGAAATGACAAAGAATTGTCTCCAAAACTTTATAGTAAGGGAAATAAAATTGGCTTTTAGGGATTTAGATTCCAAATTAACACATAGGGTTGAAGACAGAAATGTACTGAGGTTCCTCAAAGTCAAGTTTGAGTCCTTTCCACTCGATGTAAATTAGGTCCAAAATATAATTACTTTCTTCTTACCAGTGAATAATGGAAAATATGCTCAGTTTTTAGTGCATGAAAAGCTCGTAGGAGATTTCCTGGAAAAACACTAAGTACTGAAGGGTGCTACTTATTATCTTTATTCATAACCAAGGGAAATTTAGTAAACTAATAAAAGGGTGGTTGAAAGATGTCAAGATTTGATAGCCATAAATAAGGGACATAGTGCCAGAATTTTTATTTATTTATTTATTTATTTATTTATTTATTTATTTATTTATTTATATTTATTTTTGCGTAGAAGAATTTTATTTTGCATAGAAGAATTGCGTACAGGTGTGGGGGGGTGTGTGACAGGATTCCAGAGACAGAATGGGGAGCAGAACAGGTGGATTTTAATGAAATACACTGCTGAGGGGAGCAGCAGGCAAGACAGGAGAAGTTTGCTGCACCATGTGAGTTAGCTCCCTGGCCAGGAATCAAACTCAGGGCTCAGCTGTGACAGTGCTGAGACTTAACCCCTACACCACCAGGGATAGAATTCTGGCTGCTGCAAAGGATGCTGGGCAGCACAGCAAACTTCTAGCCATGTATGAACAAAAGAGAGCTAGAGTTCTTGAGAGCTCAGGCAGGCCACTTTATTATCAGTGCATCATCAGAGCTGTCATGAGTTGCTCATGATTTTCAATTGCTGGTATTCTTGAATTAATTAAAGCACTTTGTAAAATTTTATACAGTTGTTATTCTTATTGATACTTTTGGGGGGTAATTGCTGCATTGTTATAATTCAAATTTTATTTTGTTCCTCTCTCATTTTTATCATGATGTTATCTATCAGGGAATAGAAAAGAGTAGGGTAGGTGATTTCTTGAGGCTTGCTCTATTTAATGAACCAGAATAAGGAGCTTGAAAACATTGACTTAATGGCCTTTTTGGTCCAGGCTTGACCATAATGTAAGAACTTAAGAACCCAGCTAAAGCAAAATATGCCAGTCAGCTGTGGGATAGCTGGCGGAAGTAGGACAATCTTACCCTGTCAGTGTCCATCCAGAGCTCTCTAGAAGCGAGAGAGCTTTGGTCAACTGTCCCCAAAAAAAAGAGCTTATCTAATAAGGATTTGACCAAAGTTATCTCACCTCTAGAGATTCAAATTGCATCAGAAACATGTATTCAAATAGCATGATTTCATTCAACATCATTTTGTTATAACATTGATGGGAACAAAAAAAAAAAATAATCAATTCCCAGAAGGGAACTGTGTCTGTGTAGAGTTTGTGTGAGTTTCTTCCCACATCCCAAAAACATGCACGTGAGGTTGAGTTCATTGTTGTGTTGACAGGTCCTGGTCTGGGTGA